TTGAGCAAATATTTGCCGTAGCATATAAAGCAGAGAGCAACTGCTCTTTTACGGACTATACTCAGTAACCTTCTCCACTTCTGGACTGAGCTTTTGACGGCAAGAGATGTCTTTGTTGTATTTTGATATCTTATACTATGTAATCGCTTTCACAACTGAACGGCAAAGGAATAGGGCTTTCCTCTCTGGTTCTGAGATCGAAATACAATATGCGTTGCCCCGAAAAATCTATTTTGGCTGTTCTCCTCCGTTAGGATTTCAAAATTTAGAGAATCAACCAACTTTCATCTTTTTAGCCAGATTCTTGAGCATTTTGTTCAATTCAGTGTATCCGCGCTAAAAAAAGACTAAGAAGGTAGAACTAGGGAGTTTTGAGTATATTAAAGTGCCGCGTAAATTCGCAATTAACATTTCTAAAGCAGCCTTCAAAGAGTATATAGTTGTCATCGCCTCAGATGTTGTTCTCCTAAAGCCTGTACCTAAGACTGTACTCCCAGTTTCAAGCATTGAATTAAAAGTCATCTGCTTGTTTATCAAAGTGCTCATAAGTTTAACTGATATTTTGCTAATTTTCAGATTCATTATGCGGGTTTCAACCTAGCCAAAAGATGTCTCAACCTACCTCAGCCTGGGTAATGTCGTATCGGCATAATGACAAGCATCCTGGCGGTAAGTTCTTCTTACGACAACAATCCAATAATGCTGAAAGCATGACAAATCATAAGTAAAAGTGGTTTTTTTTGATTAGACGAATATACCATGGCTAGCCTGTTCCGAGGAAACACAAGGTTTGTATTCAGGAGCTATGCCACACTGAGGAGCAGGCTTGGCTGGTTGAGGTTTTAGTGATGGGTTTACTGGTGATGGGCGGTTTAAAAAGGAGGATGATGGCTCAGGAGAAATGATGGCAGCTGTGGGAGCCGGTGCTGGATTTCCAACGGAGCCAAACTTTTGACGTCGAGCTAAAAAGGATGGCAGTGGTCCCTTTTCAGTAGAAATTGTAATGGAAACCCACGGCTAACAGTTATGCGTAGCGGCCCTTGAGTTGTTCGCGTAGGTGAAACAAACTAGAAAGGACTTTTAATAATGTTATAGTTGAATGCAGAATAGTTTGAGCGCGTGCGAGCGATTCTTTAGCAACGGAGCGCGCTTATGTTAAATGCGTCACTTTAAATTGACCGTTCGCAGGTAAGAAGTTCCCCGAAAACGATCTTCTGCCGATGTCTTTGTTACTTTGCCAATGCCTCGAGCGAACTTCAACGAACCTCTATAACTTTTGGCTCAAGAAAGTCAACGTTGCTGGGAACTTTCATATTGA